AAAAATAGCTTAATTAAAAATTCTGATACAACAAATGAAATGATTGGTTTCTTTAAAACGGACTCATTTATTTTTTTACTATTAGGATTTGGAGTATTTTGAAGGCATTTGTTGTTTTGTATTAAACTGAAATTTATTTATTTATTTATCTGGTCCTTCAGTTGTGGTAGAGAGTAATTTAAGGAAAGCTTTCTCTTCCAGTTAATACACAAATGCACATAAAAGAACATCTTCTAAATATTTAAACTGGTATTTTCTCATTTTGAAGTTTAGATTATTGGCCAGATTAATTCCTGTTAATTTGTGGAAAGATTCTATTAAGACCAATATATCTCCTAAACATATCGTTTCACCATAAGTTAAAACCACCCTCTGTTGTTGTTGTTGTTGTTAACTGCCGTCGAGTTGGTTCTGACTCATAGCGACCCTGCACAGGGTTTCCGAGGCTGTAAATCTTTATGAGAGCAGAAAGCCTCATCTTTCTCCCTCAGAGCAGCTGGTAGTTTCGAACTGCTGACCTTAAGGTTCGCAGCCCGATTCGTAACCACTACATTACCAGAGTTCCTTATCTAATGGTAATTCTTATTAGATAAGGCATTGATGCCTTGCCAGGAATAGTGAGCATAATAATTTAGTAATTTCCTTTTCATTTTTCTGTTAAACTGTATAGTCATTTATCCACGTTGTATATCCATGCCATCATTGAATTTGATGTTGTTGCTGTGTTCCATTGAGTCAATGTTGTTGTTGATGCCATGTGCCATCGATTCGGTTCCAACCCATAGCTACCTTGTATAGGGTTTCCAAGGAGTGGCTGGTGGGTTTGAACTGCTGACTTTGTGGTTCAAACTACCTTGTAAATCCAGTGCACTAACCCACAATGCCTAATTCCCACTTAGTTTAGTTATCCTTTGTATTGGATGTGTTCACTTTGTTACCAGTTTTATCAGCCATACAAGTAGTTGTTTTTCTTTAACAGTAACTTTTTTTTTTTTTTTTTCAAAACAAACCTTCCTTATGATTTCCTGAAAGTTGTTGTAAATGCAGCAAAGTAAACCTTATTGCAACGCATATGTTGTGTAGTTTGCTAGGCTCAGTCACTGCATTAAGAACTGTGTTACCAATTTTTAAGCACATTAAACTGAATTCTGTATCTCAGCAAAAGTAAAACGTATTATGCAATATGATATGCTGATATCATTCTATATTAGATTCGATCTTTAATCTCAAATATGCAGCTATCTATGGTTTACTGAAAAAGCTGTGGTGGTGTTGTAGGAAAGCATTGGACTGCTAATCATAAGGTCAGGAGTTAAAACCCACCAATTACTTCGCAGGAGAAAGATCAAATTTACTGTTTCTTTTTAAAGATTCATAGTCTCTGAAACCCTATATAAAGTTACTCTGAGTTGGAATTCACTTTTTGAGATTTAAGGTACAGGATGACTGACAAAGCATAAGCTAAATATAAAACTGCAAGCTATAGTTGAAAGATAAAGAAATGTGAGAAATAGCTGTTTTCTCATTTTTTTTTAATTTAACTGAATTTGTGAACTGAGTAAAAGTTAACAGACAAGATTATTTGTTTCAATCAATATTACCTTTTGTTTCATCTCAATGATTACAATCCCCTCCCTGAAACAACAGTTATCTTGTTTATTTCCTATGGCTTCCTTTTTACATCTTATTGTTCACAAATGAACAAAGCAAAAATATTTGTTGTACACATACAAAACAAAAAATGCATACTCATTTAAATGTCCAAAGAGCACATTTTGCAAGCCGGCCTACTGCCCACAGGCACACAACCTCTCTCAGACCAAGGGCTTAGAGTCCAGAGCTGCTCTATCTCTTTGTATCATTACCACTGTCTCTGCAGTCGCCACTTGTTTAGGTAGAGTCTCATACTCAACTCATGTTCTTCCTTCTTTGTGGTCCCAAGACCTTCAGTTCCTAAATGAAAGATTAACTATACCCCCTTTAGGTTATAATCTTCAACAATTATTGTTGTGACAATTAATCCTACTAACAACTAAAATTGAATCATAAAATTATATCACTGTCATCCCCTGTCCCCTTCCACCACATCCATATAGAAGAGAGAAAAACTATTCAATGGGGGGGATTCTACCTTTCACCCCTCATTCTCAAATTAAGCACACATGAACGTGTGTGCCTGCCAATTTATATCTTTGTAGCCCCACATTTTCGTTAGCCAATGTCTAAATTTCCCATCCCTATTAACCCAGTGTACTGAGGAATCAAGCTTGGTCCTTGATATGAATAATCCTTCCATTTCAGTTGGAATTTTGAGCAACAGTATCCATAAACAAAGGTCCAGCAATTCAACTGTAGCAGTTTACATTTGCTCACAGTATTAAGCATCTTTTCCATCTTCTCTTTCCACAGATGTAGTCAATTTGATTTCTATGTGTTCCATGTGTTCTACGCAAAATGTGTGTTCTATGTGTTCTGTGCAAAATGTGTGTTTTCTACAACTAGGTTCAATATGTTCAGTATCAAGATCCTTGTTTACATAATATATAGTTTGTGTTTTCCACATTAATTGGGACAAAGTTGATACCTTAAGAAATGAAGATGTTCTATAAGTTACTTTATTGCCATGTTGATAAAACTTGAATTAAGTGAGACTTCGTTAGAATGGCAAAACAAACAAACAAACAGCTTTTTGCCCTGACAGAATAAACTATTGCCACTGAGTTGATTGTGACTGATAATAACTGTCTTTTTGTTGCTATTAAGTGACGTCGATTCTGTTTCAACTCATAGCAAACCTATATAGGGTTTCTGAGGAGTAGCTGATGAGTCTGAACCTCTGACGTTGCAATTCAGTTCCTTAATCTGCAGTGCCACACCAGGACTCCAATGACCCTAATGTTGTTGTGAAGTGCCATCCAGTAGATTGCCACCCATAGCAACCCTGTACAGGGTTTCCAAGGAGCAGCTTGTGAGCTTGAACCACTGACCTTGAAGTTCAAACAATTTTGCAGTCTAATGCATTAGCCCACAGCACCACACCAGGACTTCCCAGTGACCCTATTGTTGTTGTTAAGTGCCATCCAGTTGGTTCCTACCCATAGCGACACTGAACAGTATTTCTAAGGCTGTACATCTTTACTGGAGCAGAAAGCCTCATCTTTCTCCCACGGAGCAGCTGTTAGTTTTGAACTGCTGACCCTGCGGTTCACAGCCCGATTCATAACCATTACGCTACCAGAGTAAAACTGCTCCCTAGGGGTGCTTTAGAGAAATATAGAGGTTGTCTCATGGTTCTCACCCTAAGTGGCTGGTGAATTTAAACTAAAGACTATTTACTAGGAGCCAAATTCTTAACCCACTGTGCCACCAGGGTTCCTAATGAAAGAGCAAGAATCTAAAATTTCTGAAATATATAAAAATATGATTCATATCAAGAGCCTGATTTTTCTATATGGATCTGTTTGGGACACTCTTCTTGAATTCCTACATTTATTCATCATTTTATGTTCATCTTTAATGATAGTTTTTTCTATGATCTTAGTTCTTTAAGAAAATTCAGCACAAATACAGAGCCCTCACTATTCTGTCTCCATGAAGGTGTCCTGGGGAGTCTCAACACTCTCCCTTTTCAATATAATGTTAGTCACACTCATCATGTCTTCATTTGATTGACAAAACTGTACTTTATTCATAAATAAATGAAATTATTATTTTTGGTATGAAATATATTGATAATATATGCACAAATGTGGAAATATGGACAATCTTAGAGAAGAATGTTTCTTAAAGTATATCAAACAGATATACCGGCTAACATACTCGCGTAAGTTATTATCCCTTCAGTGATTTTAAATACTTTTCGTAAACACTATTTTTAAAAATCCATAATAGTTTATTGTTAAATATCCAAATCCGTTTCAGGTATTATTGTAATGAACACGCTTGGAAATTATCTTAAACAAATTTGTGTTGCTTTCTTTGAAATGATTTCTTCAAGTGGGATTTCTGAATCAAATTCTTAAGCAAATTTTAAACTTCTATATGCATATCTCTATATTTTGTTTCACAATTGACAACATAAGTAATACTTTTGCTGAAAGCAGACACCTGCTGATGGAAGAGTAGGTTAAACATTTGACTGCTAACCAGTGGTCAGAGATTCAAAACCACTAGCTGCTTCTTGGAGAAGAGAGGAGGCTGTCTTCTCCCATAAAGATCTAAAGTCATAAGAAATCCTGTGGTGCAATCCTAGAAAGATACTGTGAGTCAGGATTAACTCACAGGCAATGGGTTCAGTTTATTGAGGAGGAAAAGGTCATTTTAATAACTAACTCTGGGACACTAGTTTATTTTTTCTTGCCACACTGCTTGCCTACGATGAAGACACAAAGTATCTCAATGCATATTCAACTTTTCTTATAGGTTTGGATATTTGAAATATAGTTTTTTCAGATACATAATTTTCTTCAGAGAAATATTCTCACATTGCATACTGTGTGGTCTGTATATATAAAATAAATTAAATGAAAGGGAATAGGAACTGAACACTATTTTTTTTATCTATGGAATCAGTTAAAGCTCATCTGTTTTTCAAATGACCTATTCTTGCTGTTTGTAAATTTTTCTCCAAACTAGGACTTTTCTGTGAATCCTTTGGGAAATACACTTCTTTCTTCTTTCATTTTGATCTATCAGCTTCCCTCTTATATGTCAATCTATTTGCTCTGTGTCTTCAAAAAATTCTTTAAAATTTTGGTTCTCTTAATCTACTTTCATTTTATTTTCAGTTCGACTATGGTAGTCTAGGTTCTCCAGAGGAGCAAAATCAGTAAAGTGTATGTATATATAAATATATAGAAAAAGGAATCTACTTCATGAAAATGGTTCACACAATGGTGAGGAAGTGACTCAAGCACAAATGGGACTATCAAGTCCCAAATTCATGGATGGGCAGTAGGCTGAAGACCTCTGTTTCTAACAAACCCATAATCTGCAGGTCAGGTGGCAGATTAGTAGCCTCTGGGGCTCATTGGTTTATGAGAGCTGACAAATACAAAATATTCTGGTCAGGCCGCAGGCCAAAGTGTTCTGCTTGTATTATGTACCAAGTCAATGAGGTCAGGTGACTTCAAGAAGCATGCAACATTGAAAAAAAGGGCAAGTTTTGTCAGAACATCCATATATACACTGGAGTTAGGCCTCACTTCTAATGAAACTGTCCTTTCAACAGTTTGGCTTCTCACATTAGAAAACAAAATGGAAGGTGATTCCATAATGTCTGCAAATCCTGAGAATCATAGCCTATACAATTGACACACATATTACCCATTACAGTCTTGATGTGGGTCAAGTCACTATGACTTAGTACAGACTCGATGACACTTAACGAAAAAATTTTACCCATGATAGATAACATAAAAACATAACTATTTGTTTATTATTTTACAAAATTATTATTATATTCGTTTCACAGATAATTGGAAAAAAATGAATATAGAGGTTTTGTTTGAGTCTAAAATGTGTCTGGGTGTGATGTTGTAGAATAAGCATCGGACTGTTAAACGCAAGCATTAACAGTTCGAACCTACCAGCTGCTTTTTAGAAACCTTATACAGCATCGCTATAGGTCGGGACCAACTTGACAGGATTTAACAACTGATATGGGACTGTAGGATAATGTGTAGGATTGTAAGGTCTGTTTGAGGCACAAGGTCATCAGTTCAAACGCATAAGCTCCTCCTCAGAATCCCTATACAGCATCACTATGGGTCAGAACCGACTCGACGACACTTAACAACACCAACAAATGATTCACTATAAGTTATAGAGATATGATGATCAAGGTATGTTACCTCTAGTGACCTTCAGAGCTGAATTTTCAATTCATACTCTACTAATTATTGTCTGTTTTGAATTAAGCAAATCTTATTGTTCTCTTGTATAAAACTGGTAAAGAATTTTATTTTTTTAAATTCAAATATTCTTGTAATAATAAAATTAGGTATATAAATTAGTATATAAAATTAGTAATTCTTGTAATAATAAAATTAGGTATAAAATTAGTATATAAAATGTGGAATAATGCCTGGCACATTCTCAGTGTTAAATTATTGTTAAATATATGAAGTACAATTGTCTCTTATAATAAAAAAGTGATATATTTACTGTGATCTAATGATATGGATATTTTCATTTCATAAAATGTACAAGCCAATTGAATTTAAAGTATTGTTGTTTATATTAAGTTCTGTCAATTTGGTTCCAAATCATAGCTACCCACTATAAGTTTCCAAGGAGTGGCTGGTGGGTTTGAACTGCTGACCTTGCAGTTAGCAGTCCAGTACATAATCTACAGCAGTACACAAGGACTCCTAAATTAAATACAGCATTAAACAGAGAGATAATAGTATAACACATACATATGTATACATTTTAATAAAAGAAAAAAATACATGCTAAATTAAATCTAGAATTTATCTTTCATTTATCAAAATAAAAAGAAAAATAAATGCTATATTTAATTTGACATTTATTTTTCTTTCTTTTATAAAAATGTATATACACATATATATGTGTTGTAGTGCTATCTTTCTGCTTATTTTTCCTTGGAAAATATTACTGTGAGCTGTATTATAGTTCTCAAACACAGCAAAACTAGTGCTAGTGTTAGCAGCAGGGAGACACAAAGCAGATATATGTACTTGGAAGTGAATCTATAGCTTATTAAACACAAAGGTGGAAAATCAAAGCCTGCTGTTTATTGTTTGCTTTTAAGGCATGTAGCACTCAACAATCATGATCATCAAAAACAAAGAAAGTTCTCCAAGCTGTGAAAGGATTGGTTCCACTGAAAGCTACAAGAAATTGGTAATGATGTGGGTTGAAAACGAAACACAAAAACATGTTGACAATCGCTTTTTAGCATGAAGAGTGTTCAAGAGACTTAAGGAAAAAGCAGGCCCTGACTAAGATATGGTGTACACACAACATCCTAATCATATAACATCCAAAATCATAAGTGATGATGACTGTACATCAATTTTTTCTTTTTAATTTTAATAATAGAAGAAATATATGTTGTTAAAGTTGTTAACTAACATAGTTTCTTTTCATAGTGACCCTACATAGGGTTTCCACCATCTGCTGGTGAGTTTGAACTGCTGACCTTGTGGTTAGCAGTCCAGGGCTGATCCAACAGTGACGTATAATACTTAAATACAAATATATATGTTTACTTGTTTTGCTGAGTCTTGAACTCCATTTCCCTAATAATTATTATTGTTATTGTTGTTGCTGTTGTTGTTAAGTGCCTTTGAGTCGATTCCGACCCATAGCGAATAGGGTTTCCAAGGAGTAACTGGTGAGCTTGAACCACCAACCTTGTAGTTCAAATGGCTTTGCAGTCTAGCTCATTGCTCCACAGCACCACACCAAGATTCCATCCTATAGTGACCTTGTATAGGGTTTCCAACCATTAAAGAAAATCTCTAAGTAAAAAGGCCTATGCTGGCTGGTATTTTTAAATCCTCCTATTATATGCATGGAGTATTGTGGTGCCATGGTTGGATAAGTTTAGTGCTTACTAAACTTCTAAGCACAAGGTTGGTGATTCCCATCAGTTGCTCCTTGAAAACCCTAGAAAGGGTAGCAATGAGTCAGAACTGACCGGCACTTAACAATAACAACATTATATATATTATATCTAAAACTATTTATTTTTTTCAATTTTCATAATTAACGGAAATTCAATCAAACAGGGACTCCTTGTGTGGGGCTATAGGAGCAGCATTGGACTGTGAACCACACAGTCTGCAGTTCAAACCCACTAGCTGCTCCTCAGAACCCTGTACAAGGTCGCTATGAGTCGGAACTGACGCGATTGCACTTAACAACAGCAACAATAATAATTACTAGGGGAATGACAATTAAGACTCAGCATAATTTTAGTATATTGAAAGATAGTTAATTTTAATTCATGTAATATAAAGTGTTTGTTGATAGCTACTGTAAAAATGATGAGATATAATTATTCCAAGCTTGCTTCCTAAGGATAAATAATTGTGTTATCTATCTGGAAGTTAGGATACTTATTGCTTTCTACTTTAATTTTAAAACTATATTAAATATATTCAGTAAGTATCTGAGAACCATTATTTTAGTACAAAAGGGAAAGTTATTCATTTTCTTTCATTTGCAGTCAATGAAAGTTTAGAAAAAGATCTAATAGCTATATATTCTGAAAAGCCTAGAAAACCACAGAAGCACCCTATCAATGGACCATTTAAGGAAATCTGTGAATTAAAAGATCTACATTTGCTAGTATTATTTAAATTCTCCTATTATATGTGTGGCACTGTGGGTTAATACACCAGACTGCAAAGCCGTTTGAACTGCAAGGATGGCAGTTCAAGCTCACCAGCTGCTCCTCGGAAACCCTGTGTACGGTCGCTATGAGTTGGAATCGAGTTGACAGCACTTAACAACAACAACAACAATTATATGCATGGAGTATTATGGTGGCACTTTTGGATAAGCATTAGACTGCTAAACACTAGATCGGTGGTTCAAACCCATCAGCTCCTCCTTGAAAACCCTTTAAAGGATAGTCATGAGTCAGAACTGACTGGCACTAAACAAGGTATTATATGCAAAACATATACCTGTCTCTGATTAATAAACATACAGATTATTGTACATTGTTATTGTTGGAGTACCATCAACTCAGTTGTGAATCATAGTAATCCTGTGGAAGGTTTTTGAGAAGCAGCTTGTAGGTTTGAAATAACTACCTTGTGGTTTAAACTGGCCTTGTTGTTCAGTGCT